ACGGACTCTCTCTCTCTCTCTCTCTCTCTCTCTCTCTCTCTCTCTCTCTTCCTTTCTTTCCTCCTTTCTTTGTTTTATCCTCACTTGAGGGGTTATGTTTATTGTTTGAGAGAGAGAGAGAGAGAGAGAGAGAGAGAGAGAGAAACATTGATGTGAGAGGGAAATATCGATTGGTTACCTCTCTTATGTGCCCCAATCTGGGATTAAACCTGTAACCTGGCTATGTGTCCTGTCTGGGAATCAAACCTGTTACCTTTTGGTATATGGGATGATGCTCCAAGCAACTGAGCCATCCAGCCAGAGCTCCATTATTTGCATTTTTAAAATTTGACCTGCTTGAGTCTTCAAAATACACAATTTTGCTTTAACATCCTTCCTTTTTAACCTTTGTTAGGTTACTAATGCATCACATCAGAGATTGCTTACCAGAGTTGAAGACAAGAATAAATGTTTTAGCTGCTCAATATCAGTCTCTTCTAAATAGCTATGGTGAACCTGTAGATGATAAAAGTGCTACTTTACTCCAGCTTATTACCAAATTTGCCACAGAATATTGTAATACTATTGAAGGAACTGCAAAATATATTGAAACTTCAGAACTGTAAGTAAGACATTTCTCTATCAATTTGGCTGTTGGATTGATAGGTTACTTTATCTTCTGTTACAGTAACAAAAGATACTATGAGATTATTTGACTATGATTTATTACCTGTAAAACAGGAATATAATTTTGTAGAAATGATAGGATTTAACTGATGTGTGTATTAAAATTCTTTATAAATTATGTAAATAAAGCACAGTAAAAATATCATTTTTTCCCAAAGGTAAATTAAGAATACTTCATAATTTACCTTTTAAAATACTTGTTTCTTTAATATGCACTGTATAACTGTTCATGAAAAAATAAGAAAATGTAGATATGAATAAAGAATAAAGCATAAGACAAAATTACTCTTAATCCCATCATCCAGAAACAATTCCTGCTAATTTTGGCATTAACCTAGACATTTCTCTATGCATCTGTAAAAAATATGCTTGTATTATACATACATATACACACACACACACACACACACACACACACACATCAGCTGCTATATATGCTATTTTGGAATTTCTTTAAATCAACATGTCAATATTATACATTTGTATGATCAATCTTATGATTTATACAGTATTTTATTTTTTAAATATACTACCTATCATTTGTTGAACCAGTCCATATGATAAGTTTGTTTTCAGTTATATAGAAATATAAAGAATGTTGTGACTTACTGTCTTTGGGGCAAGTATTCAAGTATACCCTTAGGATAAATTCCTAGAAGTGCATCAAAGGGTATGACATCCTCAGTCTCTCTCATTATTGCCATACTATTAATTGATATATTGTTTTACTATTAGCAATATATAAGAATCTCTATTTCTATAAACTCTTAAAAAAAACTTTTGTTTTGAAATAATTATAGACTTCTGGGAAGTTGTAAGTGAATATATAAGGAGGTCCTGCTCATTTTTCACCCTATCTCCCCCAATGTTGCCATTTTGAATAACTGTAGTATAATAACAAAATGAGAACATGGACTTTGGTAGAAACCATAGATCATATTGAAATTCACCAATTATACATCTACTCGTGTGTGTATGTGTGCTTCTATGTAATTTTGTGTGATGCCACTGGCCTTATTTTGTGATTTAATTCAATAAAGAGTATTTAACAAACTAATTATTAATTGTATACATATGGCATATGGAGGGAAATAAAGATTACTAAAATGAACCTTTTAAAGAGTTTAGTGAGTAAGGCATGTCAAGGTAACATGAGACTTGATTAGATGACAAATAGGAGTCTAATCAATTATTTTTATTTATGTACTTCTTATTAAATATAATACATACCCAGAAAAGTACATGTGATATACATGGAGTTTTGTAAGTAGTTAATAAAGCAAATACCTGTGTAATCACCTAATTAAGCCTTTAGAACACTGAAGAGACTATTTACATTTCTTTCAGGGATTGAGAGAGCTCCCTCTTTAAGAATGCATTTGGGTTGGGCTCTGAATAGAATTTGGGAAGGTAGTAGGTAGAATGGTTCTTTAGGCTTTGTAACAGCTAAGAATAATCCAGGATATATTTGGAGAATGGCATGTACAGTGATGGGACATAACAGGAGGTAAGACATGAAAGGTACCTAAGAATAATATTGTGGAAAGTTGAGTATCTTCAGAATTTTTAGTCAGAGGGCTGTTTTATAAGGATAATTCTGGTCATGAATATTATTTGGAGAGGGAAAGGTTGGAGGCAGAAAGACCAATTACTGATAATTTTAACCACTTTTAAGCATATAATTCAGTGCCATTAATTACATTCAAAATATTGTGCAGCCATAAATAATATCTATTTCCAAAATGTTTCACCAGCCCAACAGAAACACTGTATGCATTTAAGTATTATATCCTTGTTCGTCTCTCCCCCAGCCCCTGAAAACCTCTAATTTACTTTGCCTCTTTGAATATGTCTATTCTAGATCTTTCATACAAGGGGGATCATGTAACATTTGTCCTTCTTTGTCTGGCTTATTTTATTATAATGCTAGGCTTGAACCTTTTGCTTGGACTACTGTAAGGAAGTAGTGAATAGAGATGGTGAAAATAGAGAGAAAGGGGTGATTTGGGGAGACATAAAGACATCTGTAGAATTCAGCTGGACTTGAATAAAAAAAAATAAAGGATAATACCAGGGATTCTAGTCATTAAAATAAGAAATGCATGCCTAGTACATAGGCCTAAAGATTTAATTTGTTTAAAGCAGGACTGGTGGTCCGTGAGGCCCGAAAGGTTGGCGACCGCTGAACTATATAGCCCAGTGGTCCGAATGATTTCTGAGTTTTTAAATGGTTAGAAAAAAAAATTTAAGGAAAATTCAAATTTTAGTGTGCATAAGTTTTATTGGAACATAGCTGCTTATGTTTACATATTCTCTATAGCTGCTTTTGTGTCAGTAGCAGAGTTGAGTAGTTGTGACAGACAATTAAAATATTATCTGGTACTTCATAAAAAAAGTTTGCCAAACTCTACTCTGGATTGTGAATAAACAGAAATAAGTAATATACTGTTTCTTGTCCTTAAGGAGTGCTTATAGTCTAGTTGAAGAAAACTAGGGCAGAGAAGAGATGCTTAATAGTTATCAGAACTGGTGTTTCCTGACAGAACAGAGTGTGTGTGTTGTGTGAATGCCTTTCATGAAATGACTCCTTTCCCCCATAAAAAACAACAACAGCAGCCATAGAAACTGGTTCACAAGGGAGTTTGAGGACACATGGAAATAATGGTCTAAATGTAATTGTGTCTCTGAGACTTTCTCAGAAGATGAGTCAAGCTTAAAGCTTATAGAAAAATTTCTAACTTGCAGCTTCTTTCCCTTTTAGTAATACTAGAAACCATATAGTTCATTGTCATTGCCTTTCAGATGCGGTGGTGCTAGAATCTGTTACATTTTCCATGAGACTTTTGGGAGAACCTTAGAATCTGTTGACCCACTAGGTGGCCTTAACACTATTGACATATTGACTGCCATTAGAAATGCTACTGTGAGTATGCTTAACTCAGAATTTTTTGAAATGAGGTTAAACCTTTTTTTTCTTTTTAACCCATATTGTACAGCTTCTTATTTTGCTCTCTTAGATGAAATTAGGAAGCACTTCTCATGAAAAATACCGAAATGTGATTCATTTTAACCTTTGGGAAGGACGAAAATGATATGTAGCAATAAGAGCTTGAAATTTAATTTTTTTAGGGTCCCCGTCCAGCTTTGTTTGTGCCTGAAGTTTCATTTGAATTACTGGTCAAGCGGCAGATCAAACGCCTGGAAGAGCCGAGCCTCCGCTGTGTGGAGCTGGTTCATGAGGAAATGCAAAGGATCATTCAGCATTGCAGCAATTACAGTACCCAGGTGACTGAGAAATGGAACAGGTTCAGAGTCAGTAGTAAAAGACATGATAGCGGGTTCATGGGGTGGAAGGAAATATGTAAATAAGATGGGCTATAAGTTAAAATATGCAGTTCCCTCAACTAAAAGTGGTTTGGAATAGCATATTTAAATGTAGATTCCAAATCTAATTCATTATTTCAGTAATTATTTAATTTCCCTTTAAACAAAATAGACCGTTATACGTTTCCTTCTTCTACCATATACAGGAGCTGTTGCGGTTTCCTAAACTTCATGATGCCATAGTTGAAGTAGTGACTTGTCTTCTTCGTAAACGGTTGCCAGTCACAAATGAAATGGTGAGCTATTATTTCACAAATCATCACTGTAGTTACTGTTAATAAAAATGTTTTTGTACAGCATTATGATTAGAGATTAGATGTAATGTGTAATTTGTGAAGGGGAAAATGAAGTGGATTTCAATCTTATTTCAAAGGAAATTTCAATAATTTTGACACAAATTGTATTTTTCTTCATGTTTTAATCATTGTTAGTCTGCAGCCACAGGTTTTCATGCCAAGTGAGTTATTGAGGTTTATGAGTAGCTTTGTTGTTATGTTGAACACGGATCTAAGAGAAAGTTTTATCTGAGCCTTTATAGCAAGCTCTTATTCTAACTATGATTTGTCCACCTCTACAGTGTGCTTGTTTGATGACCTAATACTTTAATATCATGGTTGCTTGCTTTAATTTTGTGTGTTGCTGCTATCCTTTAAAATGAAGTAAATGCTGAAATTCATAGAAAAACAACAACAACAAAGGAAATATAAACCTGTGAAATTGCCCTTTGACGGGGGTTTGTTTTTTGTTTTCCTTTCTGATTACTAAAAGTGCATTAGGGTCCCTCTTGGCTCAGAATGGCAAGCCCCGAAGGAGGTTCACTGAGAGGACAAAAGCATCCTTGGAAATAAAAAATGTTAGTGCTGCTAATTTTCCCCGAGCAAGCATGACCCCCAGGTGACCTCAGACTCTACCCACTCATGTCACAGAATTGTTGGAATTTCATTTGAATAGATCCTTTTCACCTGGTTCTTGACCTTTTAGTGCTGTTCTGATACCTGACATTTGTCAGGACAGTGCAGATGAAGTTACTGTAATCTCTCTGCAATACTGAAGTTAAATTAATTTCAGCCTTCCTTTTTGATTATTGTCCCACTAGGATTTTGAACCCCATGTGATCTGTACTAATAATAGCCTAGGTGGTCGTCAAGCCGGGATAATCCCACAATCCATCACCAGGAGGCTTTGTGCGCAGTGGGTGTGCATGGATGGGTGGAGACTTGACGCTGCATGCGTAGTGTGGAGGCGGGGCCCTGCGGCCACTCCGCATGGCCAGGCCTAGGGGTCCTGTGGCCCCGTGAGGCGTGGAGGCAGGACCCCTCGCTCTGGCCTACCTCTTTGGGGGATCGATTGTGGGATTCCCGCACTGTGAGAAGGCACAGGCCAGGCTGGGGGAATACCCCGCCTCTAGTTTATATTTAAACTAGGTGCTTCATAATGAAGATTAATTATTCATTGCCTCAGGTCTTTAAATGTATTCTTCACCTAAAGTTCATATCTTTATATCTAGTTATGAAATGTTTTCTTAATGTTGAACCTGACCTAAAACTTTGACTTGGAATAATGAATGATCTGAGGTTTTAATACCAAACTTCATTAAGCTTTGGAACTTAGATTTGCATAAGGTAGGTAACATTTTTTCCCTAACAGAATACTTCTATTTTAATCATTCCCCGCCCCCAGAAATGCAATCTCAGATGCTGAAATAGAAATAATTCAAAAGATAGAGCAAATTATTATTTGGCATAAGATTTATCAGTTTGGGTATAATTCTCAGATATTTATTTAGGCATCAGTTTCCTATACACTTTTTAGAATTATCTGTTTAATAAATTATATATATGTAGTTTCTTAAAGTAAAATAAGTTGGCATATTTTTGTATATAGCCTAATTTTATTTTTTTCTAGGTCCATAACTTAGTGGCAATTGAATTGGCTTATATCAACACAAAACATCCAGATTTTGCTGATGCTTGTGGGCTAATGAACAATAATATAGAGGTAAATGCAACTCGAATGATCATTTTTGAGAAAAAAAAAGTAACTCAGTTATATCAAATATATTGAGCATAGGATAACTATAAAATATGCCTGTACCATATTATTGTCTGTTATATGCTAAACAGTATGCCAAGGGTATTATATTCTTAAATTTAATTCTCAGAACCACCTGGAGGCATTTTTCTCATTTTCTGCTTATGAAACTGTAACTCAGAGAATCTGGGTTTCATTGATTTAATGTTGAAGAACTGCCTGGCTCAACTGTGGAAACTGTTGTTGCACTTTATTCAGGTTGAAGTGCGTAAAACAAAGTGAATGTTTAAAATTGTTTTCATCTGGCTCTGAAAGCTGTGAAAGAAACATTCCAAGATTTACTACGTTACAGTAAGTTTGGAAAAGCAGAGTACTCTTTTCACTGGGATGGCTGCATTTCATGGATCTTTTTTTCCATTTGAGGTTAATGTAGCAGTTACATAAGACCTCAGATGGAGCCTCGGCTGGTGGATATACGGCAACTGATTTGATGCTATTTTTCTCTGCACTTTTATCCAAGAACAGTAAATTTTTCTGCTACTCCTTAATACAGTAGGACCTCACAGACCCTTCTGTATCAAATTTCCTCTTATGTATACACATGAAAAGAATATTATAAATGTGGAATTTGGGAAATGGGGAGACCCTGGGTTATGACTTCAACCCTTTGGTTAAACTAACAGATGAGGAATCTGAGACCCACAGATGTAACAGCTGTTGCTTTAGTGCCTGTTTTGCTGGGCACTGTTGGAGGAAACAAGCACCTTCTCTTTAACAGGTACAGGGGACTGTTTATTAGCTGGAGTGACTCCTGTTGTCAGAAAATTCTAAAGTGCACATGAGTAAGGCCCTCAAGTTAAACACTGGAAAAGTAGACTAGATAATAGTTATGTTAAAATTAGTATGTAGACACTATGTTAGGATAGGATTTAGTTACTGTAGCATTGAAACCAACTTTATGTAAAATTGTGTCTGGAAGTTTTTGTAATTACAGACAAAGTCATTTATGATATTTAATTCTGATCAGTATTTTTCTACAAGTAAGTATATCTCTGGTTTTAATGACTCTGCACTAAGAACTTTATGTGACTATTCTCATTTAATCTTTACAATAACCCTATGAGAGTAGATCGTTGGTGACCTGTGCAGTTATTAACAAAGCAAGAAAGCCATGACTGTTGGGCTATAGGCCAGCTAAGGTAATAACTTCTTGGTAATAGACTAGGGCAGTGATGGCGAACCTATGACACGCGTGTCAGACAGAGGTGACACGCGAACTCTATTTTTGGTTGATTTTTCTTTGTTAAATGGCATTTAAATATATAAAATAAATATCAAAAATGTCTTTGTTTTACTATGGTTGCAAATATCAAAAAATTTCTATATGTGACAGGGCACCAGAGTTAAGTTAGGGTTTTTCAAAAGCTGACACGCCGAGCTCAAAAGGTTTGCCATCACTGGACTAGGGTGAGAATTTCTGGTCTTTGGATTTCCCTGCCTTTTGCTTTGTGTCCCTCTTCAAAATGTACATTTTAATGTGTTAACTTAATCACTCCCATGGGAGGAAAGGGGGAAGAAAATGGGTCAAATTTCAGTCAGAAAATTTTATTAGCCACAAAACATCATTGTGAAGCTTTATTAACTTTAAATTTTTTGCAAGTTTGAGAGTATTCATGAAATGCTCTCAATTTAGCAACAATTTTAACTAAATGCTTTCCTGTTATATTTGATGCTACCTACAAGTCATTATTAATACCCACATCCTTATATATTTTCAGTCTTGCACCTATCATGGTGCTTGACATACAGGTGTTTATTCAGTACCTATTGATTTGAATGTAACAGAGTTTCTTTAGCTACTTGTACTAGAGTTACTTTGATATTAGCTAACTAGAAGAATGGGCAATTAGCCCATTAAATCAGCCAAGTCACCGAAAGGACTATCGGTTTTCAACTCTACATTTATATTCTGGAGAAGGTTTAGGGCAGGGGTGGGCAAACTTTTTGACTCGAGGGCCACAGTGGGTTCTTAAACTGGACCGGAGGGCCGGAACAAAAGCATGGATGGAGGGTTTGTGTGAACTAATATAAATTCAAAGTAAACATCATTACATAAAAGGGTATGGCCTTTTTTTTTTTTTTTTTTTAGTTTTATTCATTTCAAACGGGCTGGATCCGGCCCGCGGGCCGAAGTTTGCCCACGGCTGGTTTAGGGTAAAGAGAATGAACCATTCTTAAAGGATAACCTTCACCACAGATATTTCTAAAAGGTACGGTTTTGTGTGTGGAAGTTGTAGGAATATCACACAAAGCTTATATTTCAATCCATGGCCCCTCATTTTAGAATCCCTGGTACAGGGGAGCCACTGTTACTGACAGTTGTATTGTATCCTTCAGGTGTATTGGGGCAGAAAAAAAAAAGATTGAGAAGCATTGGGTTAAATGATTTGTTTGTTTTAAAATATAATTATGGCATGAGTTCCAACAGTGAGAGGATATACTGTAAGTTATTCCATACTTTTCAATTAAGCTGAACATTTTTGAGTAGGCTTATATCTCACTGCTCTGATCACTTTTTTTTTTTTTGCTTGGTTGGTTTATAGGAACAAAGGAGAAACAGGCTAGCAAGAGAATTGCCTTCAGCTGTATCACGAGATAAGGTAAAAAACAATTTTTAAAGCTTAGTCCTATTAGGCAAAGATGGATTGGTAAGCCTCAGAATATTACTCCTAGGAGTAATTTTTTTCTTTTTCTCCCTTTAATATTCCGTTGGAGCTATTTCATTCTTTGAGTACAGGTATATAAGTTTAAAAAAGGCTTTGAACAATTTAAAGATAATAGTATTTTTACAGAGAACAGGTTGATGGTTGCCTGAGGGGATGCGGAGCTGGGTGAAAAGGTGAAGGGACTGAGAGGTACAGATTGGTAGTCATGGGAATGTAAAGTACAGCATAGGTATATAGTCAATAATATTGTAAAACTATGTATGGTGCCAGGTGGGAACTCTTTATAAAGTATGATTGTCTAACTACCATGCTGTACACCTGAAACTATTACAAGATAATACTGAATGTAAACTGTAATTGAAAAATAAAATTTAAAAGTATTTTTAATGCATAAAGGTGGATTTTAAGTGTCTAGCCTTATTTTTCTTAAAAATCCACATTGACTTTATCAACTCTGTAAAATTAGTTGAAATGACTAATGACTTTATTATAACAGGAAGGCTTTTTGGAGAGGGAGACAACAATATGCACATAACAGGTTAATACTTGCAATAGTTGCATGTATTCTTTACCAGAAAAGATTTACCAAATTCCAAAACTAAAAATGAAATGTTTGGATTTGGATTTTCCGTAGGTTTGCATCTGAAAAAGCCCTTTAACAGAGGTGACATTAGTACCAGAAATAAGGCAGAATGAACATTAATTTTATGACCCACGATTACTTTTGTTTTTCATGTTACTTTATTATTTTGATACAGACGGGAATATTCACATTTACAGAATGTTTCTGAATGCATTTGGCATCCTTGATTTTTCCCTGCATTTTTTGCCTTTAGTCTTCTAAAGTTCCAAGTGCTTTGGCACCTGCCTCCCAGGAGCCCTCCCCTGCTGCTTCTGCTGAGGCTGATGGCAAGGTCTGTTCTGATTCTTGGTCTAAGCCTGCATGCCTAGTTGTTTGGTTCTACATAATCATCTGAAAACAGTACACTGAAAAACAATATTAATATGGGCTATATATAACAATGTATATTTATAAAATGCTTTTGCTTGCAATATAGAAAATGCATACAGAAAAAGAAGTTAAAGAGGAAATTATTCTGCACTTTTTGACTTTCAAGCCATTGATAATGAAATTTTGCTTGTTAAACTGCATGTTTTAACATATCTTTTAACAGTTAATTCAGGACAGCAGAAGAGAAACTAAAAATGTGAGTCTTGCTTCAGAATGGCAATGTTGGTTCTCACTGAAACACTGTTTCAAAACCATTGAAGAACCTGTCTGTACAGTGGCATCTAACTCGTCTGTGTTATGTCTTTAATGTTGCTTTTATCTAACTAACCCCTTTAATTCTAGTTTTAATGTTGTTTTAAGTAATAACAATAATAGTATTTCCCACTGTTTTCTGTTACTGTCGAGAATAGTTTTGAATTTAATATTCTGGTTGGGAATTAAGATTCCAGAGATGGAATCTGTACTTTTGGATATCTGAGATCTATCTAGTACTGATGGGTAATCTCTCATGCTTCTTTCTTATGCTTCCATTCAGTTTGCACTTGTCACCCACCCTATATATGTGGCTTAACATAAGTCTCAACAGCTTAAGCACATTAATACAACTAGGGACTTTGAGAGTTTGAGACTTGTTGATTCCTGATAATCTTTTTAGGGGGAAATTATTAATCTGTAAATTTCAGAACCATTCGTCTGAGGTTGCATTGGTGGTATAGTGGTGAGCATAGCTGCCTTCCAGAATCATTCGTCTGGTTATTCTGCCACTTGGCTCCTTTCTTTATTGTCCAGATTAAGATTCTCAACTCCAAATAAAACCTGATAAATGTCTTGTTTTCTCTCAGCCCACTGTGCTCAGACCTTAAGAGAACCATCTAACATCTAAATCATTGCTTATTATTTCACTCATGGCATCACCCTGAATTTGCTTAAGATTTTATTTGTTATACCATTCATGTACAGTTAACATTTTAAAATTAATGTGTAAATATACTGCCTATATTTAGATAAAGCTGACCTTAACAGATAATTTTGGGTCAGAATAATACCCAAACAGACGTTTTAAACAGTTGTCATAACACTCACTTTTCTATTAAGTTTATATAAGCCATTTTAATTAATATCTATAAATTTTGGTTGTCGTTTTGGAGTCTAAGATCTTAAAGAGCATCTGATCTCTTAAATGTTGTTGAACTACTATTTTTCTCATTTTCCTAGTCATTTTTCTTTGAGAAATGAAGGTTAAAAGTAGTTGTGATTAATGGTGGCACTAGATTTCTTTCAGCAGATCCTTTCTCAAGGATATAGATATTGAGGGAACCTGTGTGTATTTATGTCACATTTTAGGCAGCTTACAGTCACTAAGAATCATGGGTAAATTGTTTCATTAAAAAAGTCTCTATTTTTATGATATTTTGTTGACTAAATATAAAGAAACTTGAGGTCTTAGAACTTTTGGAGAGATCATAGTTCAACAGTGTTTAAGGTTACTTTGCGGAAATTAAGCTGAGTGGTAGTTCTGTGTTTCCTGCTTTTAATAAGCAGTCTTGTTTTTAAGGGCATCTTATATTTTTTTCTATAACTTACTGTAAGAGGGTTTGGAAAAAAGGAAAAACTTTGAAAAGCTAGCAAATGCTAAAGAAGGCCATACATGCCATCCCATCTTTCTGACCTGTTATACCTCCAGCTAGGTATTGGATGTGTGTTTGCCTTGACTGCTGTCAAAGAAAATGACCTTTGTTTAGTTATCATCAGATCTAATATGGTTGGTAGAGATTTTGGAGCATATGGTGTGTGTGTTTTTTAGGTTTTATCTGGAGGCGGTGGGGTTGGAGATGCTGTTCAAGAACCAACAACAGGCAACTGGAGAGGAATGCTGAAAACTTCAAAAGCTGAAGAGTTATTAGCTGAAGAAAAATCAAAACCAATTCCAATTATGCCGGCTAGTCCACAGAAAGGCCATGCTGTGAATCTGTTGGATGTGGTAAGCCATGAGAATTTGGTTGAGGACTAATAAGATAATTACTAGGAAAACACTATTAAAGACAAAAGGAACTAAAAGTCTCAAAAACTCAATTTTGAATGCCAAATATTGCCATTTCAAAATGACACAAAAGTGTATTTTTTTCTCATCCCATTTAGCCTGTTCCTGTTGCACGCAAACTATCTGCCCGTGAGCAGCGAGATTGTGAAGTTATTGAACGACTCATCAAATCTTACTTTCTTATTGTCAGAAAGAATATTCAAGACAGGTTAGTAGTACATAATGTAAATCAGACTGCTGGATGATTCTGTGATCTGTTTTGAAAATTCATGCATTTTTAAAATTTTAGGTTTTTATTCTAAATCAAATGATCATCTTGTTTTGTTTTGCAGTGTGCCAAAGGCAGTAATGCATTTTTTGGTTAATCATGTGAAAGATACTCTTCAGAGTGAGTTAGTAGGACAGCTGTATAAATCATCCTTATTGGATGATCTTCTGACTGAATCTGAGGACATGGCACAACGTAGGAAAGAAGCAGCTGATATGCTAAAGGTATTCCTGTTACTTTATTTAAACATCTGTTAAAAATGCATTCTGATTCTTGAGTGCAGCTATGGTCTTCATATGATGTTGGTAATTATTAGAGTCTCAGATAGATACTGGTTAGTATAAATCAACCACATGATAGAATTATAATTTTTATCTTCTTTAATGCAGGCATTACAAGGAGCAGGTCAAATTATTGCTGAAATCAGAGAGACTCATCTTTGGTGAAGAGAACTACATAAGACTGAGACTTTGTTGACTCGAAAGTTACTGCCTACTTGAGTAGATTTTTATTTATGAACTCCTATGTATTACAATGGTATGAACTGCTCATGTGAAGACTGGCTATACACTGAAAACTGTACTCTGTATTACAGAATGAAATCACATAATCCGAATAAATGGCTGTTTCTAAAGTTTCCCAGTATATATAAAATACATCAACTCTTTCTTGTGATAGTTTCATTTGAACTTAAAAGAAATGCTAATGTTCTCATTGTACAAGCAGCTTACCCGTGTAATCTGTTAGTAGTCTTAACGCTGCTACCACGGTCCTTCAAGAAAAACGCACCAAAACATTTCATACGACTGTACTGCATGCATTATATAAGCTGATCTGGCTTTGAAAGATGCGGGTTGACAAGTTACTCATAGTCACTGTATTCCACCTGTCCTTATTAGTTCTATCTCTGCAACCTTTGATGTGTTAGTCAGAAAGGTGGATGTACAGAGGATCGCTAACAGTGACAATGATGCATTGTGCATAATGGGTAGCCACAGAGCCCTTCCATTTCTTGGTCCACATTGCCCTAGTGCATTAAAATATCTGATTCTTACTCAAACCTAGAAGCAAGTACTACATTTTCCTGTATTAAAAACAACCACCTACACTTGATTTTATAGTAAGACTTAGAGGCTCTAAAAAAAATTCAGATATATCTTAAAATTGCGGCACTTAACACCATGCTCTTTCTTGGAGGGGGGACTTAAAACCAAATTCTGTGCTAGATCAGTAAGTATTACATGATAATTGTTACTTTTGCTTCACACCAGCAAAATTAGCATAGAGGTATGACAATACTGGTGGAGCCTTATTAAAAAAAAAAAAAACCATGCTGACACACTCCTAATGGCTTATAGACAACTAATTTGTATTCAGGAGTGAGGTTTAGAACATATATTTTATTAAAATTCCTCAGGTGATTTTTGATATGAATTACATTATAAATGTTAAGATAATGGTCAAAATTCTTAAGGCATCTAGCAGATATTAAAATTTCTTTTTAAGTTACAATATTTATGAAGGACTATTGACAATATAAATATATCTGTTAACTTTAGGTACCCATTTACTAAGAAACAACAGGCTCACCAACTTATCTCAAACATAAAAAAACCCAGATTCAAATCTTGATAGAATACATCGCATCAAAATGTTTGTTAGTGCACTTTAAAATCACTCTGCCATCTTTAAACATTAGCTTTGAATTATACCATTCATGTTTACTTACTTTAGACAGATTAGATAACTACTGTTTTAGCCTTTTGAATTTATAAGGGGGAAAATTACCTTCTAACGCATCTTTCTCCAGTATATCAAACAGATTTCCAATTAAAAAATGTTCCCTTTAAAGACATGGTATGGTAATGCACTTTCTAGTACTACATACCTTGTACTAGTACAAAGCAAAATAGGCAAGAGAGGTGTGGCAAGTGAAACCTTCGTTGGCTCTAAACTGGGTGAAGTTCTGAAATGTGGAGATAATCTATGACATTTATAATGGATACCTGTATGTTCTTGCTGTGTAAATAAAATTGCTGGTATGAAATGACATTAAAGTTTATCAATAAATGAATTCTTCCTCACTTTACTCCCAGAAAAAGGTTTAGATAAACTCTAGCTTTTTAACTTAACAAATCTAATACAGTGTATATTGTATCAAAGTTTTGACTTTCTTCCTAGATTCTAACAATTCACTGAAGTATTACATCTCCATTTTTGCATATAAAGACAGTGACTTTCTCTAAGTAATCCAGGTAGCAAATGGCTAGAACCTGAACATTAAAGCCACTTTTTGCTGCCTGTAAGGTTTTCTAGAGTAAATTTGGTTATGAACCATTCTGTATGTTTGTGCCTTTCACTTGATCCTCAGGGAAATGGATTTGTCATATGTGGAAATTTAAGTTCTGGAGATTTAATTTGCCTAAATGTTGTAGAGCTTAACTAAGTCTTGATAGGAAATCCTTTAAATTTGACCTGAAAACTTCCCTTACCCGGGTATCTTTGATATTCTCATATAATTGGATAGTTGGTATAACATAATATTTGCCTCTTTTACTTCTTTGGTTACTTAAGTTTTCAGTTTATTTCAAGTTGTAATTTGGTGGGGGACAGAAGTTGAAACTTAAAACTAATTTAAAAGTTTTTAAATTTATAAAATACTGCTACCTCAGTAGTTTGACAAAATAAGGCAGTAAATTTAGTTCCACTGAAACACAGGTGAGGGAATGGAAAATAATTAGAAACTTTCTGAAAAGTCAAGTACTGAATTTTAATCTTTTTTAAGAACTGTATTTGGTTCCTAAGCAACAACAAAAATCAGTTTCCAGTACTAGATTTCGCATTTCTAATGTGGATGCTAGAGGCACTGCTGGTTTTAATACAGACACTAGCGAGATCAGTGAGATATATATACTTGATATAAAAGTATCTGCAATTCCTTAGATTACCTCTTTTTCATTGTTCCTCCTCATGTCCAAAAAGGAGAGCAAGATAGGACTGGAAAGACAGCACTTAGTTTTTTCATAAAGTATAATTTTTAAAACATACTAACCCTGGAAACCATGGTTTTCTATGGTGGTCCTTAATGTTTAAGGATCAAGAAATAAAATCCCATCATATACACAGACAACTTATTAACCAACCTATATAAATAATGAAATTACTCACACTGTGAGGCCTAGAATATATACTCCATTCTCTGCTGACTGGCGTAACTGAAGGAATGTTAAGTTCTGGAGCCAGCCTTTTGTATGTCTTGAGAATGAATGGCGGTAAGTTTGAATCAACAGAAGGATTTTTCATCATAGTTGAAGCCATTTTATAATGTAGAAATTCCTTTTTCCTATTTTAAGTAATGAAAGTCCATTCTTAAGAATATGTTGTCCAACAACCAAAACACTCGCCCTGGCTCAGGGTAAGTACGCAATACATACTTGTAAGGCAGTGGTTCTCAACCTTCCTAATGCCTCAACCCGTTAATACAGTTCCTCATGTTGTGGTGATCCCCAATTTCATTGTTACAAATTGAACATAATTAAAGCAGTGATTAATCACAAAAACAATATGTAAATATATATGTGTTTTCCGATGGTCTTAGGCGACCCCTGTGAAAGGATTGTTCAACCCCCAAAGGGGTCGCGACCCACAGGTTGAGAACCGCTGGTTTAGTGGGTTTAACAATAAAGTGAATTGGAATAATGGACCACTTTCTGAAGGGCGTCCCCTACCTTGGGGAGAAAAATCACAGAAAAGAAACTTCCAGGACATTGCTGCTTTTAATGAGATACAAGTGACTACAGGAAGTCTTCACTTAATATTACTGATAGGTTCTTGGAAACTGGCTTTAAGTGAAGCAACATTTAACAAAACCAATTTTATCATAGGCTGAATGATAACAGAGTTAAGTTCCTATGGCATATTTCTGGTCACAAAAATATTAAAACTTCTAACTACAGACCCAGAACACTTCTAATATTAAACACTGAACTAACTGAGCTATATATACATTTAAGATCAATAAAAATGAGATGATTTTTCCAACCCCCTACTGCCAATTCAGGGTTGCCCATGGCTGGAGCTTTCCCCAGCCCAGCAGCTCAGAGTGCAAAGGCAGGCACCAACCGTGGACAGGACGCCCTTCCATTGTAGGGCATGTGTGTGCACATGCATGTGCATACACACACACAGACTCATTCAGACTGGGACAATGTAGATACAGCTCATGTGCACATCTCTGGGATGTGGGAGGAAACCGGAGTCCCTGGGAACCCCCCCAAAGACATAGGGAGATCATGCAAACTCCACACAGTGGGCCTGGCCAGAAACTGTCCTGGTTTTTCTCATCAACATAATGAAATGACATTATTTGAGGACCTGCTGTTATAGTATTACAGAGATTTTTAAGAAACTTGCTTATGAAATTGGAAAACCCTTTCAAATTACATTCTGAGTATATGCAAATAAGGGCAAATTTTGTTAAAGCAAAACTTGAAAAAGTTGGCTAATTTCAGAAATACAAAATCAATACACTAATAAATTATAGATTATCAATAAACATTTACAGAGCTCTACTATGCACTAAATGTAAATAGAATATAGCAAACTAGTGGAGAGAGGCAAACAAATGAACATTCTGACATACTGATCAAATGCTGTCATGAGCTACTAGCTCTAGAAGTGCACCGAGGGGTGGGGATTGGTAGTTTTCCTGAAAGAAGAGTCACTGAAACTGGGAATAAATTGCAGTTATTTTCACGAAAGTGAGGAAACATGGGAGTAGCCAGAAGGAGGTGAGATTTCAGTAGAGAGCTAGCGCACGAAAGGCCTTGGAAGTCCTTGCAAGGCAAATCTCTGTTTTATCTGAATATGTTACCGAAGTTAAGAAACTACTATGCATGGTTTTAGCTCAATAGTAAGTGATTTAATATTTAGGAACAAATTTTCTCTTACAAAGCGTTATTTTAAGCTGTTTGCTATTGTTTCCAGATCATGGCCTACATTTTGTTTAAAAGCACAAGCTTATACAATCTAAAAGATGTAAGTATTACTTAGAACTCTGGCTAACTCAGATATGGTGTCATCTTAAGTAGCAGTAAAACTTTTGTTATCAGTAAATAAACCACTAGAACAGTTCAGAAGGGAATGAAAAATGCTTCCACGGGGAGGAAAAGGCTTAGAACCGCTGATTCATTGTGGAGAAGTGCATACCACCTTCAGTTCAGTGAATATTAACTAAACTAGCATATCAGGAAATCAATATGGTGGCGTGGCAGGTGATACAAAGAGAGACAATGGATATTTTCTCCTTATAGAGAAATCTAAGCTCTTTAGGATAGAGGCAAATAATACAGATAATTAGGGGGAAAAAACACACCCACCAACTATAATATAACAAATGTCCTTCATAACCATGAACATGGACTGATAACTGACTTATGCTAGAACTCCTGTAGGTGAGAGACCCAGGGTCTTTTGGCCAACTAATGCTTCTTCTACATCACAGTTTCATTTATAAATGGGTAAGCATCAAATATAAGCCAAATAACACCTTATGGAACACCTTATTCCCTAATAATACCACATAACTGAGGAATTTAAATATTCTACCTGCTTCCTGCATAAGAAAATAAAATTCAAAAGAGGAATAACTGTATGTAGTAGATAATAGTCTTAGAAGTTGTATCACATGCTTACTTGTTTTCTGAAATTCAACTAATATTTTAAACAGGTTGGATAAGCATTCTACTCCCCCAAATAAAGAGGATACAGACTGAATATGAGAGGGTTCATGTGGCTCTGTCCACTTAGGGCCTCTGTTCTTGTGACCTTCTCAAACTGACCATCCTGAGCTGACAGATCTCACTGTACTTATTTAATACTGGAGGCCCAATGCACGAAATTTGTGCAAGAGTAGGCCTTCTTTCCCCCGGCTGCTAACACTGGCTTCCCTCTGGCACCTGGGACCCGGGCTTGGTCCGAAAGGTTGTCTGGAAGTACAACTGGTCTAATTAGCTTATTATGCTTTTATTATTATAGATACTGATTCCTTAAATGCAAGCCTTTTCCAATGCTGGAAGACAAATTGACTGGGTTCCATTTAATAGGAAGCAGTATAGTCGTACTTGACTGCATAGGAAATTTAAGCTATTATCACCATTAATCTCAGTTTTCACTTTCAGACCAGCGGTTCTCAACCTGTGGGTCGCAAACGACCCTTTTACAGGGGTCGCCTAAGACCATCGGAAAACATATATACTTACATATTGCTTTTGTGATTAATCACTATGCTTTAATTATGTTCAATTTGTAACAATGAAAATATATCCTGCATATCAGATATTTACATTACGATTCATAACAGTAGCAAAATTACAGTTATGAAGTAGCAATGAAAATAAATTTATGGTTGGGGGTCACCAAAACATGAACTGTATTAAAGGGTCACGGCTTTAGGAAGGTTGAGAACCACTGTTCTCAGACCAACATAACTCCTAGAAGAAATGAGACACCATTAATGAATTCTCAGGAAAACACGCTGTGGAAACACATGCTGTGAATTATAACATTTAATAGTGAATTAAATGTGAATCCGAAAGTTAAGTAATCTTACCCCCGGGGACCATCTGGAATGGCATTTGCTTTGCGGCACGTATCTAGGACGCTTGTTCCGGGGTCAAGAACTAATTCAGAAAATGAAGCTTCTTTAAACAACTCTTTTAACTCTTGATCAGACATGACCTCCAGTGCATCTACGCTACTGTGATAAAGGGCTTGTGTACACCTGAAAAACAGTTTGAGGACAACATCATGCGACTGCTTATTCAGATACACATTCTAATACACAGTAACCAATTATGAAGTCCCCACTTTCTAGACTGAAAGTTTCTGAAACAGCAGCATTTACCTGGTATAATTTATCAACTTAATTCAGGATCATCTTTTTTTTATGATAGAGAGAGGCTATCTGAAAGCAACTATAGCCCACACTGACAATCCTTAGCAGTGAAGGACAACTCGAAAGCAGCTCGGCTCTAAATTTCCCCAAGTCTACTATTAACTAAAGAACCTCATCAGCGTTCATTACTGGGAAAGGCCACCTTTTGGCAGAATCCAGCCCTTCTTGCCCATGAACCAGCTTCGTGACTTCCGCAGCAAGCCGTTTCTGGGGACCCCGCTTTTCTGGCTCTTTGACGTGCAGCTGCATTATGTGGTCGATCTCCGGAAGGGGCAGAAAAGTGAAGAGCCTCAGGTACCTTCGGGACAAAAAATAAAGTGTTACATTTAGATCACATACCTAGTTTTTATCTCTGGCTCCCTTTACTATTAAAATTATTGAAACATAACAATTATGCAGAAATGTACTGGACATAAGACAATCATACACATGCCACCCAGACTGAAGGTGTTACTATTTTGCCATCTTTGTTTCAGACCTTTATTTATTTATTTTTTTTAACAATTTTTTTTTTAAACCTGATTTTAGAAAAAGAAGGGAGAGGGAGCGAGAGAGAAACATCAATCAGCAGCCTCCTGCACACCTCCTAATGGGGATCAAGCCTGCAATCCAGGCACGTGCCCCGACTGGGAATCCCATGCTTGACCTCTGGATGCATGGGATGATGCTCAATTAACCGAGACACACTGGCCAGAGGATGATCTTTCTTTCTTTAAAAGTCACAAAATAACAAAGGTATAGATGAAGGCCCCAGCCCCATCATATTCTCCTCTTCCCCCAGAGATAATCACCAATCTAAATTTGTGTGCATTCATCCCAAACATGTTTTTATTTTACACTTTTGTTTTTCACATATGTGTATATTATATTTTGTGTTCACCATCCAAAGTCAAGTCTCCTTCCATCACTATTTACCCCCTTTTACCTTCTTCACCCCGCCCCCCCATACCCTTTCCCCTCTGGTAATCACCATATTGTTGTCTGTATCAATGAGTTGTTTGTTTTTTCTTAATTCCTTTCATCTTTTCCACCAGTCCACATAACCCTCTCCGCTAACAGCTGTCAGTTTATTCTATGTATTTATGAGTCTGTTTCTATTTTGTTTATTAGATTCCACACATAAGTGAAATCACATGGTATTTGTCTCTCTCTGGCTCATTTTACTTAGCACAATACTTCTGCAGGTCCATCCATGCCGTCGCAAAAGGTAAGATCTTTCTTCTTTCTTGTTCTTTTTTTTTACAGCTGAGTAGTATTTCACTGTGCAAATGTACCACAGCTTTTTATCCACTCATCTACTGATGGCAGTTGGGCTGCATCCAAATCGTGGCTATTGTAAATAACGCTACAGTCTTCTGAATCAGTGTTTTGTATTTCTTCAGACATAGTCCCAGAAGTGGGATCACTGGGTCATATGGCAGTTCTCTGTAGGCCTTGGGTTTCTTTTGGGTAAAAGCAAGACAATGGGACTTTGATTTTTTATGTTTCTGCCAGAGTTCTAGTATAAAGTGTACTTGAATAAAAGTTTATCTACATGTGGGAGAACACATATTGGCAACGTAGGTATCATATATGATTATTGTGAAAAGAAATATAAAGAGCTTAGTAATTGATCAATTTTTAATGTTGTATTAATGAAAAATGCTGTCCATGATACTGTTTTTTGGTAGCTATGTGACTATTGAATTTGTGGTCAACTAAACTTCATGGAGAAATTTTTGCAGTATTGGTATCCATATTATGAATCATTGGAACAAGAAGTGAGGAATTAACCAATTCTTCTATTCATCCTTAAATTTTGATTCTGACATATTCCTTCTAAATTTGTCATCTTGTTAAGAGAAATGTCTGAGATGGATTTAACTGATGTGTTCAGAGCATTTCACCCCAAAGCAGCAGAATGTAAATTCTTTTCAAGTGGACACAGAACATTTTCTAGGATCGATCACATGTTAGGATATAAAACAAGTCTCAATTCATATCAAGCATCTTCTTTGATCATAATACGAAACTAGAAATCAATCACAAGAAAAACACTAAAAACCATACAAAGACATGGAAACTAACTAACATGGTACTAAACAATGAATGGGTTAACAATGAGGTCAAGGAAGAAATCAAAAGATACATCGAAACAAACAAAAATGAGAACACAATGGCCCAAATCTATGGGATACAGTGAGAGCAGTCCTAAGGGGGAAATTAATAGCATTACAGGAAATTAGAAAAATCTCAAACAATCTAATTTTACACTTAAAGAAATTAGAAAACAGTAACAAAGTCCAAAGTGAGTAGCAGGAAGGAAATAAAAGATCAGAGCAGAAATAAATAAATGAGAGTCTAAAAAAACAATACAAAAGATCAATGAAACCAAGAGCTGGTTCTTTGAAAAGATAAAAAGATTGATAAAGCTTTAACCAAACTCATTAAGAAACAGAGGACTCAAAATCAGAAATGAAAGACAAGAAGCAACAAGTGACTCCTCAGAAATACAAAGGATTGTAACAAAATATTACGAACAACAATGTATGCCTGCAACTTAAACAATCTGGACTAAATGGATATTCCTAGCAACATACTATCTTCCAAAACTAAAGCAGGAAGAATCAGAAAATCTGAATAGAGAGATTACAACCAATGAAGTTGAGGCAGTAATAAAAAAAACTCCCAACAAACAAAAGTCTTGGATTGGATGGCTTCACAAGTGAATTTTACCAAACATTCACTCAAAGGAGAACTAACACCTATCCTTCTCAAACCTGTCCCAAAAGACTCAAGAGGCGGGAGGACTCCCACGCTCCTTTTACGAAGCCAAAATTATCCTAATTCCAAAGGCAGATAAAGACACTACAAAGAAAGAAAATTATAAGCCAGTATTCCGGATGAACATAGAGCTAAAATCCTCAACAAAATATTAACAAACCAGATGTAGCAATTCATTAAAGAGATTATATGCCACGATCAAGTGGGCTTTATTCTGGGCATGCAAGGCTGGTACAGTATCTGCAACTCAATAAACATGATACACAACATAAGAAAATAAAGAACAAAAATCACACAGTCATATCTATTGATATGCATATCTATTGATTTAAGAAATGAATTTGGCAAAGTATCAGGATACAATACTAATATCTAGAAATCAATGGCATTTTTATACACAATAATGAGCTGTCAGAAACTAAAAAGAAAAATCCCATATATCATTGCAACAATAAAAAAATGAAGTTCCAAGGAATAAACTTAACCAAGGTGGTAAAAGTCCTGTACTCAGAAAACTATAGGATGTTGAAAAAGAAATAGAGGAAGATACAAACAAGTGGAAGCATATACTGTATTCATGGATTGGAAGAATTAAAATCACTAAAATGTCCATACTATCCAAAGCAATGTATCGATTCAACATAATTCCTATCAAGATACCAATGTCATATTTCACAGAACTAGAACAAATATTCCAAAAATCCATACAGAACCACAAAAGACCTCAAAGATCCTCAACAATCTTGAGAAAGAAGAACAAAATTGGAGGAACCATACTGTCTGATATCAGACTATACACAAGGCCATAGTAATAACAGCATGGTGCTGGCATAAAAACACATATACATCAATGCACCAGAATAGAGAGCTCAGAAACAAACCCATTCCTTTATGGTCAATTAACCATCTACAAAGGAGGCAAAAATGTACATGGGATATAGTCTATTCAAAGACATCCATCTTGAATAAACATATTGCCAATTGTACAGGGGTGGGCAAAGGTTTATAGCTGTTCGTGTGGAAATAACACAACAATAAACTCTGTTTTGTGTGCTCACAACTGTGAACTTACTTTTGCCCACCCTGTATGCTACAGCTAGGAGTGAACTAACTTGATAAGGCAGTAGGCCTCCCCCACTCACGAATTTCCCCTTTTGGAAAGCCCTGGATAACTTAAACAACTGACCACTTGAGCTACCCCACGAAACCTTAGGCACCCCAACTCATCCCCAATAAAAGCAGAGCCCCTCTACACTCCTTCCTGGCTCTATCTGTGACCTCGCTGTTCGGCCCTCAGAGTGCCATGTATCCAAGACTTGTAATAAATCTTGTTTTGCCAAAGGTTCCAATGGTTGATGCTGAGGTGCATCTCACAATCATAACAAGGGCAGGTCCAGCCACAACACTGTGGCGGAAATGTCTGTGGGAGCTCACCACAAGCAGTATGGGCCCAGGTGAGCACCCGCAGGCATTTTTAGCCAATAATATCACTATCAATATGCCGAGACCAACACAACCATCAGCATCGCTGGCAGGACTACATGATTGAACTTGCAATTAACTGTGGGGTTAACTGACTAGCCTTGACTACCCTTTAGCCTAGACTAGCTTACTAACTGGTGTTACCCACTTGGAAACGCAGCCTGCTTGCTGGTGTGTGCTTTTGCATATTGCCTCTGCCATGTGTTTGCTGCCTGTGATATCTATACCAAAATGTCACTGCTGCCATAAAATTCAGTGATCATAGAGTAGTCCGATCAAGGCCAATGACCTAGCTAATATGTTCTGTTCCCATCATACAGGAATCCCAGGTCCAGTTCTTTAAAAATAATTTTGAAGGGGCTTTATATCCATTTACACAGCTCCCAATGAGATCAACAGCCCTGCAGATACACATAACCTTTACTGCCAAGATTTAAACACCTGACACTGGAACACTGCAGGTTCTGGCATTATACTGAGAGAAGCATACCCTCCAAGGAAGCAGTCTGGGCAGATTTACACACGCTCACACACCACCTACACCAACGTGGCTGGGCAACTGCTCCTCACAAGATCCAAGGCTGAGCATCATCTGATTTGGGGCACCATGTGATTTTCTAAGCGCCGAGAAACCCCCCAACAGTCAAACATCAATCCTATATAATAAAAGCCTACTATGCAAATCAACCGAACAGCGGAACGACCGGTCGCTATGATGTGCACTGACCACCAAGGGGCAGATGCTCAACACAGGAGCTGCCCGCAGGCCCCAGGCCAGCCAAGGAGGGTGCCAGCGGGGGCCCCCTGATCATCCTGCAGAGGGAGGTGAGCGGTGGCAGCAGGCGGGGCTGGCCGGCAAGCGGGCAGTGGCGGGAGGTGGGGTCAGCGAGGGGGTGGCACCAGGCCAGCCAAGGCGGGTGCCAGTAGGGGCCCCCCAATTACCCCATCGGTCACCCCACAGATCAGCCCTGATCGCCAGCCAGGCCTGGGTACCCTACCCATGCATGAATTTCATGCACCGGGCTTCTAGTTACTCACTATAAACTACCCACT